AACGAGATGCATCAGTAAGATGAGTCATCACTCACTTTACTGGACATGTGCCTAGGACCAGAGGATCTAATTTCGTTGAATAACAATAATAACCGTAATCGTAATAATAATAATGATAATAGTAACGAAGTTATGTGATGCTAATTGACAGAAGTGGGTGAATGTAAACTCTTGGATTTCAAGTCCATTGGCAATATGGTAACGTATTTGCTAAGAAAGCTGGTAATTGTAGACTCGGTCCCTCATCGGATCAAGAGTGACTATAATAAAGTAAATGTACAGTGTTCCCAGACTTATAGTGGTTCTCTAGTGATGTCAGTGCATGAAAAAAACCATTTTTGGAATAAGTTTTTATAAGTTTACAAAAATCACAAGTCAGTAGAGTACCTTGCCCAGAAGAAAAGCTTATAGTGATCGAAATCACGTTTTGATTGTTCCCTATAATAAACCAAGCTGACCAACCATTATTAGTGTATGAGTATACATTTATGGTCAATTACATACTACCATGATATTCTTTCCATTGTTATTTATTTTAGCGTGGATAGATGTAATTGACAGCAAATGCGTTTCACCTTACTTGAAATTCGCCCACAAGATACACCTACATCTCAGCAAATGATGGTTTTCTTATTGGAACTCGAACCCAATATAGTTAGATTAACACTAGATTGACAGTCCACATGAATCAACATTTTATTAATTGTCATCTGGATATCCTATTTGTCAGTAGAGTGACCTTAAGCTAGCAGTTATTGCTTTGATGTTAGACTGTTGAAAGCGATCAGATTCAAGAGACTCTGCATCCAGATTTCGTGTCTACTGGCACTCCTCAGCAAAATGTATCTGCGAACTCGAGGGAATTGATGTCTCCTTAGAAACGAAATGTACTCATTCATATTGTGGGTATCCGTGCAGTAGGCAACAAGTCACACCTTCTGTGTAAGAGGGCTATTGATACTACTTGGCTGCCCAAACCATGGTAAATGGAGTGGGGCTCAAAGCTTAAACCATTGAGACACAGCTCAACTATCCATAATGAACACTTCGTGAATAAAAATTAGCTCATTAGATTAATGAAATGCTTTAGTGCCTATGGAAAATGGGTTATGTGACTTATGGTTGGGTATTTTGCAAGTACTTGAGCTTTATTAACTATTTGCTGAGGATTCTGATGGTCACAAATTCTTCAGATGGTCTCCTTTACGTGTCAAACAACATACAGATCGCATCACAACGTCATATCTCAGATTTTAGTAACCTCTGTTTACCTTATCTATTGACAGAATAATTCCAGTATTAAAACCTTCTGTATCACTTTTTTTTTAGCAACACATATACATCAGCCTGTCGGTAATAGCCTTAACTAGCTCATTGCATAGCTTCATTAATTCTGATATACAAATGTACAACATTTTCACCAGAAGCAATGCATAATTTTCTTTGAAGAACTGTCATAAATCTTACCGAGTACAGGTAACAATCACACAATACACTTCGCTGTAAAACTTTTAACTTGATTATCATAAATAAAATAACTAACACAATTGGTCAGCGTTAAGATGAAATTTATGATCAAATTATATAAAGCGTGCAATAAAACAAGTAAACAATTCACAGTGAACATGGTCAATTATTGAATTATGAATGCGAACTAACAATTTTCTTTTACATTTTACCTTTTTTAAATGTGTATTTATGTATTTAATCATACTGGTAATCCTCCGTTGTTATTCTGGATCGAATTGATCCACTTCTGTTGGCATATGGGCTCCTATGCAAATGACTCGTGATCCCTAAGTATTTATTATCTCGTAATTCGCTTCATAGTGGCTACTAGTGGAGCTCAGGATGCGCAACTCACCCATACTATTTGGGAATCGTTAGCTGGATGTGCCTAAATCCTAGTGAGTAATGTTGTCCCCACTGAGACTCGAACCTAATATGCATCACCTAAACACCAAAGTGTTATTCAGTGGGCCTCTGAAGCACCTTATGAAAATCATCATGTCAAGACAGAATACTTAAACCTGGTTGGTATTTTAGCAGTTGCCTGGGTGGCGTTTAAGGTCGCACAACATTTCTTTTGATGACAAAAGGTCTATTTTAAGAGTCAGAGTGACTTAAAGACCACCCCAGCAACAACTGAAATACCAATCAACTTCTCTATTTTATAAAGTCTGACTTTCCAGCCGAAACCAAAAACCTTAATTAGTAATTTCGATCGTTCCTAAGGTGGCCTTTAAATTCGTAGTCACTTAATGACCACCCTAACAATTGCTAAGATAACCAAACACTTTGCTCTACTTTATAAAGATCTAACGTTCTAGAGGAAATATGGCAACCCGATTGGCTACTACAGCAGTTGCTAGGGTAGCCTTTAAGTCTGTGTGACGAAGCTTATATATATATATATATATATATATATATATATATATATATATATATATATATATATATATTACCCATGAAAACATACATTATGGACCTGCCAAACCTAGATAGGAAAATTAATTGTGAAGGCCTAAGTAGAAAATGAATCTGTGACTATAGTAATACACGCAAATAAATAATAAGAGTACAACATTGAAACAAAACTGGAATTGTGATTCATTTTTAGGGAACGGATGTTAGCCAATCAGATTCGTGTTTCGTTTTTAGCGCGTACGTTGCATTTGACTTTTTGAATGATCAATATATGGAATCTCTTTTAGAATGGGTGTAAACTCCAAAATTATTTAGGCCGTTTATAAGGTCCAAAGTTTTTTGATGAATGGTGTGTAATTTGTATGCCATATATCTATTGCAAACACTTTAGAATTTATTTTGTGTATATCGCTTTTTTCATGAATAACTATGTATAGGATTTATAGACAATACAAGAATGTGATTACAATGGGTGGGGCTAAAAGTTATCCCTAAATGTAACAGTGTTCTGTGGGAAAATACGTATCTTGTGTGTTTTGTGAGTATATATTTTGAAGTGAAAACTGTAGTCATAAATCCTTTTTGCTGTAATTTGAAAGCTCAACTGATTTGTGGGCATGATTTTTATAAATAAACGTATTTACATCCGAACTGGGAGGGTGGAAGTGTAACCAATACAATACGAATTACATTTAAAATCACACATCATTCAGTAACTAGGTAAACATTCTGTTCCCCAATATTGATCAATTTGTGTGTCCAAACTAGCCCTGCAAATATGTTGAGCTGACGAATTCCAATCTATGAAATTTAGTGGTCATAACGTCCAAGATATTTCTAAGTTATCTTACATAACTGACTGAGTGTAAGTTTCAGTGATAATTGACGGGAAACAATAAAATCTTATCTCAGTTTTCTTTCGGATTATTGTTCATCATTTTACGCTTGAAAATGTTCAAGTTTTAATTGATTCGATTCAAAAGAAGTCTCAAGGATATTACTTTTGAATGGGAGATGTTTAATGCCTAATATTCATTCAACTTTGAACATTTGCAGATATGGTGACCTCTTGAGTTACTCCATGTGTTGACAGCATTGAAAAAGTGCATAAGTGATAAATGTAGCTAGAAAATCTTATATATATATATATATATATATATATATATATATATATATATATATATATATATACCGGTCTTTTTATTTTTATAAGTTGTTTAACAAACAGCTGATACGTTGTACAATTTAAAAATAAACAAGTTAGTTGAATACATTACAATGCATCGCAATGAGTGTGTCTGTATATGAAGTATATAAATATCACTTTGTTGAAATATGAAGCGTGAAACATTTAAATTTTCTAAAAGGAATCAGTCTATAAATGTAAGAATAATTATCATTTTTGACTATCTGAGATAGTTGTGGTTTGGCAGACTAGCATTGTTACTAGGTGATGATTGATGGCGATTGAAGTAAATAAAAATCTGATCAGAAGTCCGACCTCGTAGATTATTTAGTAGGAAGAGCATCAGACCAGAAACCAAGTGCTAGCTGGTTTGAATTTGGCCAAGGTCCAAATTTTTATTTCACCTTCAATCATAACTCAGTAACTAAAAATAATTGTTTTCACTTTGATAGACATTACTTTTCGTGGTAATTGATATGACCTGAGTACGAAGGACTGGTTTTTACTTAAGTCAATTATGAATCAATTAGTAAAGTATTCACTTTTCAGTTATAATATTAGTCACGGACAGTGGCTAGCACTGGAATGCAGGATGCGCGTTTCCTTCTGTTTGGGACTCATCAACTGGATGTACTTGCCTCCCAGTGAGCGATGTTGTCTCCACTAGGACTCAAACTCAGGACCGACCACTTTCGCGCCAGAGCGCCAATGAGTCACGACAGTCAATCCTTGTGCGACGAATACAGTCAAGTTCACAAGTTTTAATTTCAAAAACTAAGGTATTCACTATTTTAAGTTCATGAGCTGGTTTACAAAATATGCATATCATCACTCTGATTGAGAGATAAAAAAAAGATCACCTTAACATCTTAATTGCTTTTCTCATTCAATTAAAATTAGCCTAAGTACCTTAAATATGCTTAGAAACTGAAAATTAATTTTTAACTCTCCTAATATGTTTCTCTAACTCTGTACCGGCGGAATTCTGTCTCAAATTACATGTCCTGCAGTATTAAGTTCCTGTGTAATGGAACAACTACGCGTCACTTAGATTAGAGGAAAGCGAAAGCTAATACACTTGAAATCACTCCACTTATGAGTACTATATATTACAATTTTTCCACGACTAATTGACAAGAAATAAATCAGCGACACTTGTGACTAAACTATTTAATGGCTAACACCCTGGGATTTGAAGCGATGAATGGTTTTTCTGAGTTCCAGAAGGGATACAATCATCCAGCGGATTACACGGATCCAACTAATGAGTTCCAGACAAAACGAAACACCTTGGTTGGACTCTTCTGCACTAGCCACTGACAAACAAAACATAACTAGAAGAAATTATTCGACACGATGCATGATATCAGTAGCACAAATGACTTACCATTGCTTCATTTATTTGTAATGATTTCTGAGGTATAGAACTCGGTAAATTGTAAACAAAAGACCATGTGTTGATGAAGATTATCCATGTAATCCAAATATATAAGTATGAAATTGAAAAATATGTCCTGATTTGTTTTTTCATAGACCTGAGCATGATAAAATTAGTAAAACAAAAAGTTCAAGTGATGCTTATCACGCTCAACAACTTTCATTTCATTTTGTACATAGTTGTTTTGTATTTTTCAACTTTCTAGATAAAAATCCTACAGTCGAATCATTTCGTTAACTGTGTACATCTTGTTATTTATGCATAATACTAACTTGCTTGATGTTATCTTTGTTGTTGATACAAATCTTAACACGTGTTTTTGCACATTTAATAATGGCCTACATCAACTATGTAGTATTTGATTGGCTGAAATGAAAATAGGTGGTGTACATGATTTAAACTGCAATTGGTTGAAGTTTCGTATGATTGTTATTCGTAAATAACAAACAAATGGGGCGTTTTAATACCGGCAAGGACTAAACTTTTTAATATTTCCCGGTAAAAACTTAAAATTGATCAATATATCAGGCAGACATCATCATATAAATATTGTGTCAAGTTAACATAGTGTTAAGACACTGAATAGGATTTTATTTTTAATGTTTTCAGACATGTCTGTTTACTGGTATGTAGTGTTTTAAACGAAAGGCATTTTATAAATGTCAGTATGAACATAATATTGTTTCTAAAGATATTTATATGAATAGGTATACATTCGATATATACCTTGACCTTTTAACAATGTACTTTGCATTCCTTTCAGTGTAACTGGAAATTGGACATGCCGGAAATAATCGAATAAAAGTACAGTGACAAAAAGAAAAAGTGTTTGCTGAGTTTCGAAAGTACCTTTTTATCAAAAACGAAAAACAGATGTTAACTACAGAACAGTTTATTACTAATCTGGAAGTCATCAGAGATTGTTAGTATGAATACCTTTCACGGATGAATATACCATGAAGTGATATCCGCTAAAAATTAACAGTTCAAAATTACATTTCCCACTTGTAAGTCGTTTTCTGACTGTTCAATACTACGGTCAAGAATATAGTGTTGATTTCTGTCACGAACTGATGAAATATACGAGCGAAGAAGCATCAGCATTCGGAAATTACCTAGTTCAGACAGTGATTTTAACACCTGATGATCATTTCTATTCTGACACCGTACTCATATCAGCTGTGTAACCCAGTAGAATCAGTTCGCAGGATTAAATCGTTCTAAAATATGCAAATCAGCGGGCACATCACTTTTTTTAACTGCTTATGTTGTTCACTAGTATAAGAGATAAGTTAGTGTTATAGACTATGGCACACCCATTTATTCGTATACTTATGATGCTAAAAAAAATTCTCAGTTCGCAGTAAATGCAACAGTGTTAGTACCAATGACGTATCGACAGATACTCAGAGGTATAGACCGTTAAGCTAATGCCCTATAAACAAACTCAAGATCTTTGAGTAACTTTAAACGTCATTCAAGCAACTAATAAAACAACCAATCACATTTTGGTATTTCATAAAAACTACCTATATAGCCGAAATGAGGAAACCTATTTGGTTATCCCAACGGTTTTTATGGTGGCTATCACAGTCACTCATAATCTTCAGGTATCACATAGAGCACATAGCTTATGGACCAGTCAGTGCTCGAATAGCAACAGTAAGCGTCAAGTTATCAAATATCAGTCTTTTGACGATAATACCAACTACAAGTAGCTGGACTAGTACGGTAGTCAAAACACTTAAAATGACCATCATCCAACCAGTTTCATTTATTCACATGTTGGAATCGGTATTTTACGCATTCTGATGACATGTTTTAGCAGGAAATGTTTGTCTGATGATATGTGTATAGCTACCGCATGATATCTGATAGTGGACAATACAAAGATTGTGATATTAATAGAATTTAGCACCAACATTTTAACAAATACTATTTTAAACAGAGATGCTTGTTGTATGGTTAAAACTGGTGATAAATCATTCACTGTACAATCAAAGCGAATAAGTCATAAGGTGGAACGCACGAGATAGTTGTAGCTTTCTAACCATAAGAATGAATGGAAAATAAACCTGTACATAGCTGATAGCTAAACTGTTTGTTTTTACATCATGACAGTCTAGTCTCTTATTGACTTTACTTATCGGCCACCTACATACCCATGTCAAAACTTGTGATTATCAGTGGTCTCTATGTTGAGTCTGTTCTTACAAGCAGATATGTATAAAATGATAAATGCCAACAAATTATGTTGCTTATATCTTATGCTTAGTTTTATACTTATTAAAGTGATTTTAAAGGCAAATTAATAACTACTGGAACGGCTAATTGCATTTCATTATAACATGAAAAAAAACCTTTTTTGTCGAAAAAAGAAACGTAATTAGTTGTTTCATTAGTTGCCATGGCGATCTCTAAAGTCAGTCCGCTTATTATAGTGTGAACGGTGTTATATTTAGACTACAAAATAAATCAACTTGGGAACAAAATCACTCACTTGGAGACGAGTGCATGCAACTGACGAGTCCCAAATAGGAAGAAACGCGCATCCCGGATCCCACTGCTAGCTATTCACCATTAATATTAAAGTTCTAGAAAACTATTTTTAATGATAAAACATTGTGTTTGTCGATTTATTCTGTTGAAGGTCTGTAACCAACAGTGCATCCCGTTTGGAGGTTCGCGAGGAATTAATTGATTGTAAAGGCGCTCTCATTACTGATTGAGATCAGCCAGAAAACTATAAAAGATCTAAGAGAACTAGACATCTTTTTTCAACATAGTTCAGGATACCTCAGCAGTGAAGACTTATGATACCTTCGTTGTACCGAACCAAGGATCGTCATGTGTCATGGCAAAGACGTTACTGTTCAACTATTGGGCTTAAATCTAATGACCCACGTTCTCCAGCTTCTGATGTCTATCCATGATTAAAAATCCTTCAAGATAAATCAGTTCTCTACAGACCTTCGAACGAATAACCATCCTATGCTCGCAAGTGATTTGTTTAGACATGGAATTCCTGAAGTTTTGGTGAGTAATAGTGATCTGTAGGAACAAGCAAGTTGGGTGTCGGGAGAGATACTGGTCGATCGCACCTTATGAGGGTTGCGCCATATCACGAAGTTAAAAAGTATGTTAGTGGGCCACTTTATTTCGATTCACTGAGTTAATAGTAACGTGCTCGACATTAGGCTTGACGGTCGTGGGTTCAAACATTTTCGCGGTCGTCAGTATATTTTGTTGAGAAGAGACATACTGAGAGGAAACATCTGTTCACTGCTTTAAGGTTTCCAATAGTTTTCTAGCTGCTATCGATCTATAATAAAAGCTCCTTTGATTCATTGAATGTTTTAAAATATTCTGCGAAGCCAAGTTAACCATTAACCCGACATGAGATTGACTGAACGTTTCATCAAGATCAGTAAAGCATACTTGATCAGATTTTGTTTGATACACTTTGAATAATTAAATGATTGTCAAACAAAATATTTCCTTCGAACGTTAACATGGAATGTGCTTACTAAACTCTCACTTTTGTTTTTATCACTGATCGCCTCACACAAGTGAACCACCAAAGTTAGTCAGTACAGCATAAATGTAATTAGTCATAAGCATGTCGAATTATTATTCATCATATGAGATGCTTAACATTTAAACGATATAATATCACACAAAGTATTCTATAGTATGTCTGCATATCACTCTCTAACGTATGTTAGGATTGGTCATAAGAATATACGACGTCAACGCTAAGGTATCAACACTTCCTGTGCATTAGGCCACTTTTTTTTTACCTCAAGGACATTCGAAAGTAGAGCATATGACTGGAACGCTACTATTGTAATTGATACGTGCTACTTATATAGTTGGTAAATTATTTGCATCAGAGGCATATGATCTCAATTTACAAGTCACTTGATGATAATGACGATTAAAAAATACGTTGGTTATGTAACTGAAACGTGCGTGTTACAAGTTTAGATATCCCCATATTAGCAATTTATATGGTAAACAGTATGTTATGAATTATACTGTAGTTGCCTCATACATTCAAAAATATTATGAACCTCAGTTTCCCGTAGTTCACTGACGATATTGTTAACTGCTTCTGATCTCATGGGTTTTGTGAGTTGATCGATCAATATTCAGTAATTCGCTGTTGTATCAAAAATGAGGAATTTTAAAAAAATGCCAGTTTCTAGGGCTCTGCAGCAAATAAACGCATACTGAATTAGCCAATGAAATAAATTCCTATTGAATATTTGAATGTTACTAATAGATGTTTGATTTTAGCATCAATGAGTGACCTGAATTAGCTTCTTTCTGTAAGAGAATGTTATTCAAATGATATTAATCTCAGTAACATTTAATTTGTTGACTATGGATACAGAGATAGAGCAAGATGGGGAGGGGAAACTGAGACAAGAGGAGTGGAGCTTCCATATGTTGTCAAGATTATGATGATCCGTTTCTCAGGCAAGTGGGCCTCCGGATACAAGAGGATTTACCAGCTTGGTTTGGAAAGGGCGAAGTGAAAATGGTGAGAAGTTCCGCCCTAGCGCACCTCGTAGACACAGCATCGCGTAGATGCTAATAAAAACTTTCAGTTTCGTTCATAGTATTTCAAAAACAATACCACATGTAGTTTACCGACACCTCAACATAGCTGAGCCTATCACGATAAACTGATGAAACCTGAACTGTGCATTCAGAAATGTTATTCCTCCCTTGGCCTTCATTAAACTAAAGGCTACTCCTGTCTTCTTCAGTCATTGGTTTTTCGTTCACTGTCACATTGGTCATCTGTATAAGGGTCATCCCAATATTGAAAAAAGGTAAAAAGAAAAACTGATCTCCTTTCAATTCTTAAATCTCAATCCACTTTGGAAACGCATTTGCCCCTAACTTGGCTTGATTTTAAACTGTACAAATCTCTCAGACGTTTTGAATTTCTACTAGCAACTATTTCTTTGTTAGTAATTCCAGTGTAGAATAATAGCAAGACATAGAAAGGTAAAACGTTTTCCATTTGTTCCAGTCAGTGACTAGACGATCTCAGGGTCGTTTGTCTAGGGTATATAAACCAATTTAACATTCTAAAACTTTCAGTCTAGCTAAAATATTTTACTGTGTAAGTGTGCTGTTTTTATTTTGTGCTTAGGTACAGGATATCAATTGATACGAAAATAAAATTCTTTTCAATGGGTGCATTCATTAAGTTTCAGTCAATTTAAAACTGCTATAAGTGTCAGTAAACAATGCAAAGACACAGCAGAATTGATTAGTTTTTGCGCT